TCTACCGGGTTTTTTGGACTTACCCACAGTGCGTTAATGTTGTCAAATACTGCAAACCTGTGGTCCAGATCGATGGGACTTTTTTGTATGGAAAATACAAGCAAGTTTTATTATTGGCAGTTGTCCAAGATGTAAATCGCAACATTCTTCCAGTTGCTTTTGCTCTTGTCGAAGGAGAAGATACAGATTCTTGTGTTTTTTTCCTCCGAAATTTACGTGCACATGTTTTCACGAGGGAAAATATATGTGTCATTTCTGATCGCGGAGCTGTGATCAAAGCAATAATGGAGTCTTTGGGTCCAATGTGGCAACCACCCTTTGTCCAACATAGGTATTGTCTCCGACACATTGCTGCGAACTACCATGGAAGATACAAGAAGAATGATGAGCGTCAATTACTTGTGCGCATGGGTAAGTGAAACTGATGTAGTTTGTTTTCTTTCGATCATTTTGATCAGGTTAGTAAGTTATACATTTTTTGATCAGGTTACAAACTTCTTCCTCGAACGTTTGAATCAATGCTTCAAGATTTGCGGGAGAAGAACGAGGAAGAATACGATTACATTAGCCTCATCGATAAAGAAATGTGGACGAACGCATATGATGGTGGATATCGATATGGACACATGACGACCAACTTGGCTGAGGCAATCAATTCAACCTTAAAGGGTGCACGTCACTTACCTGTAGCGGCTTTGGTAAAAACTACATATTTTTGTTTGGGGGCGCTTTTCACGAAGCTCGGGGGACAAGCTCAAAACCTGGATGCAAGGCGGTCATGTCTATTACCCTAGATTAGTTGCAGATCTACAGAAAAAAAATTGCTGCATCAAATGGAATGTCTGTAACAAGCTTCTCTAGAAGGCATGAAATGTTTCGTGTCATAGAGTTACCGCGACCTCTTCAAGGGATTGAAGCTGTGTCGTTAAGAGTAAATCTAAGGGACAGAACGTGCGACTGCGGGTTTTTTCAAGCTCTGAAGTATCCATGCTCTCATGTGATAGCAGCTTGCTCGCATACATGTAAAGACTATAACCATTGTGTGGATCCCGTATACCTACTATCTGAAGTTTTTAAGGTATACGAATTTGAGTTTCCCCCCATAGGTAATGACAAAGACCCTGATGAGGTTCAAGATTGGCTTCCAATTGTACCAAATCCGAGTTTATTGAGGGAGCGTGGTCGTCCAAAATCCAATCGAATTCATTGTGATATGGATATTCGAGAAAGATCTAGACAAGACAGAAGATGTGGGCATTGTAGAAACCCAGGACACACTAGAAAAACATGTTCACTTCTGTTGTCATCAAGTAACAATTGATGAGGAAATGATGTATTTGTTTACCAAATAATAATTCTTGTACTTTAATTTGCATTTACTTCAAGTTAATGTCATTCAATAATCGATGATGAAGATTAAAAAAATGAACACAATCATTAAATTTTATTAAACTAATAACAATTTGGTATTTGAATATAATTTTAAATACAACAAACTTACAATAAGTATTAAATGGTAAATGATAATAAAATTACAATAACTGATATTAAATTGTAATAAACAAAATGAACTGAAATATATTAAAAAAAGTCCAACAAATTTAACAAAATAAAGTAAGTATTAAATGAGAAATAATAAAAAATTACAATTTAACAAAATAAAGTAAATACAAATATAATAAAAAACAAAATCTATCGATGCCTGCGACGAGAATGTGTTCCGCAAGGCGGTGGCTGTCGGTCTCGAGGAGGATTTCTTCGTATCACTGGTTCTGACTCCTCGCTGTCATCATCATCACCATCATCGTCGTCGTCGTCGTCATCGTTATTGTCGTCGTCATCCTGAGCAGGTACATTAGGTTGATGAGGAGCTGATGACGATGAAACACCTCCATAGAATAAGGACCCTGGAGGTGTATGACTGACTATCCCACCGGCCTGCGAAAACTGGGAAAACTCATAAAACCCAGACATCACTGAGTGTGAAAAATGTATAGGAGGCGTTTGTGCTGCGGCCATGGGTGATGAGGCTGAACCCGCCAAATATCCAATATATGAACCCCAAGTTGGATTTGCAAACATAGACCCATAATAGCCTCCAGGAGGGGTCATCTGTGACGGTGGCGGCGGGGTCATAAAACTAGGTGAAGGCGGCGGCGACATCTGGTAATAGAAAGGCGATAGCGACATCATATATGGCTGCGGTGGCTGCTGTGAAGGTCCTGCTGGTGCAACTGAGGATGAACTGAAAGCATCTGCTCTCCGTCCACGAGTCGGGGGACGATGGTGCTATGTCGTATCATGTCTCTGTCGACGTCGCGGAAAGGTCTGCCCTCGTGCATCCTCAGGAAGCAAAAACGGTTTCCCGTTACTGTTGAACCACTCGTAATAACCCTTAGCAACCATCAAGAGGTCATAAAAAATGGGCTCTCTACGGGGAAGGCGCCGATGTCAATCCTCCCACAACACGACCCACGCATGATGCCTCACCAGCCAATCTGCATCTGTCTTGCCGCGTCTATCTGTGCTATGCAACTCGTCCATATTGCGCGGTGCATCCGTAATTGGTTGAAAACAACCAAACTACCGGATCACGCGATCAGTTGAATGCCACTCGACGGTCGCATAACAGATCAGAGGGACCATCGCCATCAAAAAATCTGATGGACCCCTCAACTCAGGTGGGATCACCGCTCTCACATCATCAGTAGAATATGACACCCATTCAAACTAAAACAAATAATATATAATTTTTATCAAAATAATAATCTAATTATATAACTATAATCTAAAATCGATTTTTAAACATTAAAATTCATACTTGTGTGCCAGCCTTCTAATCGATTAGCACCCTAATTTTTTCTAAATCATCAGGTAGCTCCTAATGATTTTTCCTATCAGTAGACCACCTATTCAAGGAAAAAAATTATTATATGATGTATAAAAGTATTAATATACAAAATCAGTTTTATAATTACCTCAGAAGTAGTGGAAATACGAATGTGTTCTTCACAACGGGACATAAAAAGGGCAATCGATACCATGCCCAAGACTGCAGCTGTAGGAGACATCCGCCGATAGCATTACGCTTGTAGTCAATGGCTCCACACATCTCCCTGTACAGCAAAGCCAAAACTGTCGAGCCCCAACTGAATGATCTGGCGAGACGAAAGTCGCTAAGATGTCGCAACCACATGCAGTGAACTAGGTTGCGCGATTTGTCCGGCATCAGCAACCCTCCTATCAACTGCAATATGCATGCCCGTGCATACATCTTAACCTCATCCTTAGAGGCGTCTGCGCTCAACTCCCGAAAATTGACATTTAACCAATTTAACGGTATCCTACCTCCGATAAAACTTTCCGGGACACGTCCTAGATTTTCCCGGCACAAAGTAGTCCAAGAACCAGAAGTTATCCCTGATATCACATCTCCATCCACCGGAAGCCCCAGGTGCATAGAAACATCCTCAAGCGTGACCGTGCACTCTCCGCACGGAAGATGGAATGTGTGGGTCTCCGGCCTCCACCGCTCTACTAAGGCAGAAATAAGGTCTAGTTCTATCTTACAGTGACCCTGATATCTACCTATGTAACCAAATCCAGCCTCTACTAAATACGGCAAGACACGGCTAGGTATCACTAACTTAAGATTCCTAATAAAAAGATCTAATATACGGTCTTTCTCCTAAAAATAAATAATTACAAAAATTAATTCTTAATCTAATAATCATGCATTAAATAAATCAACAAATTATTACTAATAATTTAAATTAAATTAAAACGTTAAAATGTTACCGTATCAGTAAAGTGTCGAGATATATGATTTCTATCTAAGCGAAGTAGACCGCCTTCCATTATATATATGCAAAAAAATTATATTAGTAAAATATTAAATAAAGTAAAAATACTTAAATAAATTAAATACATAATATTAAAAATATTATAAAATATACCTTAAACGAGATAGTATTTGAGAGAATTTGAGAGAATTTGTAGTGATGAAAGTGATTGAGGATGAGGTATTTATAGGGAAGGGTGGGGTGTGAACGACCGGGTAATTAAAGCAATAGCGCGCCCCTACACCGCGCTATACCCCACGTGTCAAATAAATAGGTATAGCGCGGAGCAGGGGGCGCACTATAGCCACGTGTAACCCAGTCAGCTTATAGCACGGTGCAGGGGGCGCGTTATACCCCACGTGGCGCCAAATCAGCATATAGCGTGGGTCAGGGGGCGCGCTTTACTGCTACGGGTATTAGATCGAGAAATATAATTTAATCGGTGTTAGATCGATAAATATACCGATTACCGGTGATATTTCGAGAAAAACGTCAATTTATTTACACCCTAATAGAATAGAGTGCAAAGTCACGACCTGAGAAAATTTATTGCTCACTGGTTTTTTTTTCAATAGAAGGGAAAATATAGTTTGAAAATTATAGATTCAATGAGCAGAATATTAAAATATTGATGATTAAATTTATTATTATTTAATTTTATTAATCAACATATTATTTATTTATTTATTTAAATTAAATAATTATTTTATAATTTCTTTTTTTTGGGTATTAGGGGCCTAAAATATGATCTATAGTCCAAAGATTATTTGACTATTGGGTAAACTACATATTTAGTATATAAACTATCAGTTTTGATCCGTTTGAGTACCTAAATTTTCAAATTTTTTAAAATCATACCTAAAGTTTAATTTTTTGTTTCATTTTTAATAACAAAACTTAATTGTTGAAAAAAAATGAAAGTTTAGGTACCAAAACATGTTTACTACCTAAATCATACTTAAGTTTTGAAAAAAATGAATGTTCAAGTATTAAAACGGATCAAAATTAATAGTTTAAATACTAAAAACGTTAAATTTTTAACGACGAAATATTAAAATAAACAAAAACTAAACAATAGTTACTTTGTAAATTATTTTTTTGTTTTTTAAATACCTGTTATCTCCGGGCTTGGATCCAGCAGGCTTTAAATTCCAAGGACCGGGAGGGATCAATTAGGGTTTTCAAATTCTGATTGGACCTGGATCCTAAACTATATCCGACATGGGAGAATAACTAAGCTGAAGAAAAGGAGAAAATTAGAAGAGACGAGGGAAGGCGTGAAGTTTGGTATAATCGGCGAAGATGGAAGTGGAAGTAGATGAGAAAGGCCTGAAATCGGCGGGAGCCGAGCTTTTGAAAGATGGAAGACGTGGTTTACGTATCCGTGGATGGGAGATCGAGTCTCGTAAACGCTCTATTCTGAATTCCTCGGCTCTCCAACAATGGGAACAAACCCTACATACGTCTCACTTTCCGGAAATGATTTTCGGTGAAAGTTGTTTGATTCTTAAACACCTCGGCAGCGGCACCAAAATACATTTCAACGCTTTCGATGCTTTGGCCGGTTGGAAGCAGGAAGGTTTGCCTCCTGTTGAGGTTCCTGCCGCTGCAAAATGGAAATTCAGAAGGTGGAAATGTTTAAGTCTTTCTTTTAACCTTTTCTTTTAATTTGAAATTGAGTTTCTGATTATTTAATCTGATTTAGGTGAACTGAAAATGAAGTAAAGTTGTTGATTTGATGTTGCAGTAAACCCTTCCAGCAGGTGATATTGGACTACGACTATACGTTTACAACTCCTTATTGTGGAAGTGAAACGGTTGAGTTTGATGCAGACAAGGTCTGAGCTTTTTGTTTTTATGTTTTAAAATGCACCTTACTTTAAAACTGTTTTTTGAATTACGGTTTTAGTTCTTTTTTTGTATGGAATTGTGATATGATTGGGATATACACTAACAGTTTTGTTGTTTAGGAATTGTGAAATTAGAAATTTTTATATTAGTCTATCTGTGTTTCCTAGAGCTGATTTGAATTTTTAAAATGACGATGATGATTTTGTTGGCATTTTAAATTATGATCAGGATGGAAGTGGGGAAATTTCAGCGGGCGGCTCGGGCCTCCATTGGGAAGATTGTGAAGAGCAGCTTGATGTTGCTGCACTCACATTAAAAGAACCTATTCTGTTCTATGATGAGGTCAGCTTCTTAGATTATATTAGACATACAGTGAAAGATGATGCACTGTATTTTATGTGCTCTTCTTGTCATTCTTATCTTAAGAGTTATAAAAGTAATTTTTTTAACATTAAAAAGTAAAAGAAGAGTTACAAAAGTAACCATGTTTGTTCTGCAGGTAGTTTTATACGAAGACGAATTGGCTGATAATGGAGTCTCACTTCTAACTGTGAAAGTGGTAAATGCTGATTTTTGAAAGGATTGTACTCTGTAATATTCCAGAATGGAAGACAACTAATTACATTATTACCTTTTTTTTAGAGAGTCATGCCAGGTTCTTGGTATCTACTCCTGCGATTTTGGGTAAGTGGGAAGACTACCAATGCTCTCAATAGCAAAATAAATGCGATTTACATTTTCCCAGCCGTCATGTATTTGCCCCATTAACCCCCCCACCACCGACTCACCCCACCCCACCCCTCCCCTTTCTTTATTTTCTTTTCCCTTTCTCGTGGAAGAAATGCTGAGCTCGGCTCATGTGATTGCCTGAAAAACTCTCAAGATAAAAGCTGCTGCGATTTATTTCCCCTTTCAGCCACTTACTCAGTTTCTCTAACAGCTTCGTGTTGATGGAGTGCTAATGCGATTAAGGGACACCCGCATGCATTGTGTTTTTGGTGAGAGCACTAATCCTGTCATTCTTAGGGAAAGATGTTGGAGGGAAGGAACATTTCAAGCCTTGTCTGCTGTAAGTATATAATCACTCAGATATTCACTGCCTTTCTGCTTGTTTATATGTTCTCATACCAACATTTATTTATTTGCACATATCTATTTGACAATTTGCATTGAAAGCTTACTATCTTGGCAAGCCACAGCTTAATTCTTTGTTGCCTCAACTTCAAGTAGTTTTTCTTTATTTCTCCGTACCAGTCACATTAGAACTCATTTAATGAATTTCTGTGTCATAGATTAGGTAGCTTTAAAGTGTTACCATTTGAAGCGGCTTTTGGTTCAAGTGTGGGGTGGGTTAGTGTATCACTAAATTCAAGCTCAAGTGAACTTTGTTTTTATTGTATTTGAATTTAAATCCCGGAGAAGCAATTTAAATGCATAATATAAATGTCCGGCAATATAGCCCTTGACAGTCAGTTGGTCACAACTCATGACTGGATAGTTTGTTAGGTAACATCATTGTCCGCCTTGATGTTTTTCTATCAGGGAATGTACTGGAAGTAGCACATTAAATCTTATTTAGATATATTATAAAATAAAGCAGCTTTCTTGCTTAATCTTACGACATTGATGTTTTGCTTCTCTTATTTTGGTGCAGAAAGGATATCCTACTGATTCTGCTTCATATAGTGATCCAAGCATCATCAGCAAATGGCTTCCTGTTATCATGCATCAGACCCAAAAGTTTATAATCCGCGGTAACTTGTAGACTGTAAATTGCCTTGCGCAACAGTTATTTGAATGTGTAGTCATTGCGAACTTGATCCATTTAGGTGGATACAATATGCAAAAAATCATTGTTCATGTCATTAACAAGCAAATTTTATGAGGTGATTTTGGGTGTCAACAAGAATAAGAATTCTCTCTGTTATTTGATTTGAGGTGCCATAGTTTCATGTTTTCAGCATTAAGCAAAGTCAATAAACAACAGGGTATTATTTGATGAATATATATATTCCACTTACACCTAGTGTTTTATACCTCTTTAAGACCGTTAGACAGGAAAATCAAAAATTGAGATTGACTCTTTTTTTTTTTCCAGTGAATATCTTCTTAGTTCTTATTGTTCATCTTAGTCTTTGATTTCCCTCATCTAATGGCCCTAAAAAGGTATAAAACTAAAAGTTTTATTCTAGGTGTAAATTATATCATGCCCCATATATATATATATATGGGATAAGATCCTGTTACACAATGTAAAACTATTTTAGTTTTACACAGATTTAGGATTGTTAGATGAGTGAAAATAGATGGTTGAGATTAACAGTACGAAATTAGAAGATATTCACTGAAAGAAAAAAAACAAAGAGTTAATCTTAACCGTCTATTTTCACTCATCAAACGATCTTAAATTTGTGTAAATCTAAAGAGTTTTACATTGTGTAACTCTATATTATATATGCCTTAGTTTTTTTAAAAGGCGCAGTGTTGTACAAATGCCCCCGGAGTCTAAATGTAGAGCGAAGGTGTGCACGTTTCATGGAAAAAAAAAATTAGAAATCGGTTTTGGAAAATATCTACACTGATTTACTCCTCAAACACTTGATCTCCTCCTCCACACTATATTACTTCATCATTGCTTGTTTCCAAAATTGTAGTTTCCAAAACACTTCAACATAGAGTTAGGAATATACGTTGATATATTAGTGATTGCGCGTTTAAGAATAGAGAATTTAATGTATACAATAATGTCAGTAATGTATTTTGATTTTCGAATTAAATTAATTATTTTATAATATGTGAGTATAATAATTTATTATAAGTATAATTTTAAAGTAAAATAATGGAATCTCTTATTATTTTATTGAAAAAATTATATAATTTTTATTTAATTAATATTTTTTGTTGAATTTTCTCATTATATGTAATGAGTTATAATTATTTGTTTTTAAAGTTGATAAAAGAATATGAGTATATTATTAAAAATGTAGATGGAAATATTAAGATTACTATTTAAATTATTACTTTTATTCTGTTTTTGTATCTAAATTTATTTTATTTTTCAAAATTATATCTAACTTCATAGTACTGTTTCTAATTGATCCAGATTTTCTAGGCCTTTAAAGGACATTTTTCTCCGGCTAGAAAATTTTTGGGCTCGGCGCAAACTATTCAATTTAATGAAAGAGCAGGTTCATACCTCTTGATACCCTCAACCTCTGCTGTGTTACAAGTTTGGTTCTTCATTGGTAAGGGCGTAAATGAACAGAGCGTCCGATGAATATTTGTGAACCATTCATTCGTTAAGTTAAATAAATTAGTATGAACAAAAAACATTTGTTCATTTAATAAACGAACATGAATAGAGGTGTGCTTGGTTCATTTATGTTCACGAACAAACTCGTTTATCGACTCTTTTATTTATGTTCATAAACAAGCTCGTTTACCCGGTTCTTTTTTTAAAATATTGGTGAATGTATAAACTAATTGAATACATGATAAAAGTTGAAATTTAAATTGTGGATTTTAAGAAGTACTAGTGATGTAATTTTATTATTTTTTCTTTAACTTGCAAATGAAATAGTAAAACTAAAAATTGAATATACAAAAGAACGATAAACGAACAATAAATAAACACTAAATGTAGTGGTGTTCAAACTTCAGTTAAAACCAATTTAACTGATTGAATCAAAGTTTTTTCGATTATCAGTCGGTTAATTGCAGGTTCAATCAGTTAACGGTTAATGATTTTTTCAAACGTTGGTTATTGGTTAATTTAGTTTGAAATCGGTCGGTTAATTGAATTAACCGAAATTATTAAATATATAATATATTATATATACTATTTATATATTACTTAGCTTAAGAGTGTTTAAACTTTGGTTTTAATCGAATTAACCGAAAATATAAAATATTTAATATATAATAATATATTTTATTTATAAGTTTCAATTAATTCAGTTAACCGATCGATTAATAGATATTTGTTCAATTCGGCTAATTATTTTCGAAAAATTTCAGTTTGGTTAACAATTAAAGGGAAAAAAATCCGATTAATGAAATTTTGAAAGTTTAGTTCGGTCGGTTAACCGAACCGACCGATTGAACACCCGTAACTAAACAAACACTAAACGAACGCTAGATGAACACGTTCGTGAACATATAAGCAAACACATTCACGAACATTAAACGAACATGTTTGCAAACAATAAATAATCGAACACGAACACCCTCAAAAATAAATAAACGAACACGATATTAAAAATTTAAATAAACACGAACCAAACACGAATACCTTAAAAAATAAAGACACGAACACGAACATAACCTTGTTAGTTCAAGTTTGATTCATTTTCACCTCTATTCATTATAGTAGCATTTGGCCTAGAATACCAGATGAGCAGTCTGTAAGATAATAGTACAACACGTGAACAGAAGGGAGGAACCGAAGCTGCTCAAATTTATTGAATATAAACACCAAAAGGATCGGCATTCAATCTTTTTAATCATATAGGAAGGAGCAAGTATTGACGCAGTCTAACTGTCCATTGTACGTGTACATTCTTCCACATGATAAGTTTGCAGGTACCATGGTTTCTCTATAGTGTAATCTGAATCTTTTCAAAGAATTCTGGCTTTTCAACCAAAGTCTTACTTGGTGGAGATTTCCTTCTTCCCAGCGAATGTTAACCCTCACTCCCCCAGCTGCCATCAATCCGAACACACACCCATTTCCCCATTTCTCCCGGGGAAGTGCAGGAAGCAAGTACAGGTCTTCCATGGTACTTTGAACTAGCATTTCTGCAACTGCAGCTGTAAAACTAACACCAAAAATAACCACCTTAGTTTGTATGTTTTGAATTTAATACGTTTCTTCCAGTGATTATTAAGTGATAAGAAAAATTTATACAAATAAGGCAATCAAAAGTTGGCATAGATGTTCATTGATGTAAAAAATGTCATACCTAATTGATTGAGAGAGAAGAAAAAGACATTGTCGCTTACCCAAAGTTGGCATCTATCTGAAAAGGAGGGTGTGCTGCAAATAAATTACTGTATATTCCACCTTTGAAAGCTTCCTCATGTTCTGGATCCACAAAGTTGATTAAATGTTTGACCATTCGATACGAGTGTTCGCTGTTACCGAGCCGTGCCCACAAAGCTGCTTTCCACATGGTTGACCATCCTGGTCCTTCCTCTCCTGGTAAAGTGATGAGAATATAAGAGAAAACACACTACCTGATCATTACTCTCAAAAGTAGTCAGCTTGAAGCCTAAAATTTCCTCTGGGGTACACTGTAATCTAATAGAATATACAAAACAATTGATGGCATGAGGAAATGAACTTCAGACCTATGTGCTATTTTGGATGGGATCCACAAATTGTTTTTAGACTGAGAGCACACGAATTCAACTAAGCCTTAGCAAATAAGTCGATTCCAGAATCATAACCCATTCCTTCATCCCACTGTACAAAACAAACGTGTTTCACATGGAATAGATTTTACGAGATCTCATATTTTGACAACTAAAATTGACATATGTTCATTGTTTATATGTTTCGTATTGGCTTGGTCAAGGATGCATTTACCCTTGATTAGGCTTATCTCACATATGAATAATTATAAAGTTGCAAACTATCATTTAAAAAGCAAAAGCAAAGGACGCTAACAACAGTGGGGAACTATACCAATAATGCAATGGAGTGCTGAAATACTAAATAAACAATCCAGATGGCCAACAAAGACCAACCTCGTTTATGAAGTGTATTTACCGCAGCTTTGCAAAGGTCTGGTGTACTTTCAATCGTCAGTGTGTGTCCAGGAAAAAGTCCAAATAAGTGCGAAAGATGTCGGTGATGTACATCTGGGTCCTGAAAATCTTGTGCCTGTCTATCAAACAGGTAAATTCTTAACAAGAAAAATATTAATAGATTTGGCACATAGAAGAACTTACGACTCAAAATCAAGGTCTGGAAAAGTTGCTTCAAATTTTGTGAAGTTATTGACATACCCATTCCATGATGGAACCATCTTGAGCAACTTTGGTCGGATAAAGCCTTGACTGAGCTGTATACACTCTTTTTACCAGAGCATCATCATTTTTATCTAAAACCTGTACCGTTTTTAAAGTATAAGGAGTTCAGAAAAATGGAGAACTATGATTCTTGTTAACTTTAGAACAAGGGATTCACCTCAGCAGCTAAAAGAATCACAGAGAATACTTCTTTTATGATTGCCATGTCCATGGTTGAAGAATAGCTCACACTAGCATGGTTACCGTCTGGAGCGATAAAGTCATGTTCAGGAGATGTTGACGGGTTAGTTTCAAGATAACCCCCTTGCCCTTCGATCAACCAATCTAACAGGAAAACCCCACATCCTTCTAGCAAAGGATATGCCTTGTCTTTAAGAAAATCCTAATCACGGAGAAGAATAATAACAGTGAAAATTCTTCATAATGGAATACGTGATAAGAACATGAAAGTATAAGCACTAAAATGTTGCGAGATTAAAATTTGTAAATTCTTCTTAGTTAATGAAGGCATCAGTGGAAGTTGGAACTGTACTTTTTGGTCACAACGACATTTATGAACTTCAAGAAAAAAGTTCAGAGATTCGAGAAAAAAATTCCTTTAAATTATGAAAGTATTAGCACTAAAATGGTGCAAGATTAACATTTGTAAATTCTTCTTAGTTAATGAAGGCATCAGTGGAACTGTACTTTTTGGTCATGACAGCATTTAGAACAAGAAAAAAGTTCAGATATTCGAGAAATAGAACTCCTCTAAATTTTGATGTTTTAACAGATAATGGAAAACAAAAGTTAAAAATAATAATAGAATCTCACAATGTCCATTGTATATATGTAGTGTTCCCACAGATGGACACACAGCCAGGCTCCACCCATGGGCCATAATGCCCAGTCAACATTACCAGCATCTGCGGATGATTTCGCCCATATATCAGATTTATGATGTACAACCCAACCACTTGCTTCATAGTTGACCTGTTAGATTGTGTTACAAAGAATTTTTCATATGAAAAAAATGCAGAATAGAAAAACAAGAAAACTATGCTTCATAAGTCATGAGATAATATTGTCAAGGTCTACCATTGTAAAGATATGGCTTCTAGGCATACTAAAAAGGAAACGTCCATGTTAGTTTCCCAGTTAAGCGAAACCCTACTAAGAAAGATCTCTACATATGGAAAAGGCAGGACCTAGGCCTTTTAAGTAGTTGCAAGAATCTGAATGCTTGATTCCATCCATGTAATGTATCAGGTAAAACAAGTTATATATGAGACTAAATTATTGTAGCAGTTTTTAGCGTAAAGGGAAGACTCTTACTTTTGCAGTTTTATGACCATTGACTGATAGGAAACTGAGGAAATCAAATAAAGGCTCCTGGCATTCGCTAAGGTTGCACGGCAAGGAAGGCCAATAATTCATTTCAAGATTGATGTTCAAGTGAGGAGCAGAACTGAGGACAGAGATAAAAGAATCAATCGTAATCCAAACGATACTTTGGTTGAAATAATGGCAGTAGGTACAAGGTTCCGCATCAAAAACATCACACAATAATATGTTTAAATTGAAGAGAGAGTAAAATAAGAAAAATAAAAGAAATAGAATATAGATATACTCCCATTTTGGCTGAAGATCTTTGTTCCATATTCCTTGCAAGTTTGCCACCTGAGTTCCAGGTCGTGAAGAAGAAATAAGCAAATATCGACCAAACTGGAACAGCAGCTCGACGAGATATGGATCCTCATCAATTTGAAAAGATTTTATTCTCTCAGCTGTTGAAACACTACTATCTTGATTTTGCTTGGGACACGAAATAGATCTTGAGCTTTTTGAAAGCTGCAGTGCGACACGGTGGAACAGATTTTGATAGTCATCCAAATGATGAGCATAAAGATCAACATATGATAGACTTCTAATGGACTTCAAAACACTAAGAGAATCTGAAGTAGGATCCTTCTTCGAATCTGAAGGCTTGGTGAATGGTCCATCAAATGAAGATGATGCCACCAAAAGCAAAATTGCCCAATCTGAACCTTCAACCCTCAACTTGCTGTCATTTAGAATATGTATCATGCCATTTGCCTCACTTATCTGTAAATCAAGAATAGCAGAAAACTGGATACCCTTTGGATTGTCATCTGCGTACACTTGTGCTGGGATTCGCTTTTCAGGGCAATGTCCTTCCATTATAATCTGACTTTTGCCGTTCATTTTACAATGGTGATCCAACTTGCTGTCCAGATATACATTGAAGGATAGAGACCCTGGTTTGCTTCCAGAAATCTTTGTTACTACAACTTGGTCGGGATTAGAGGCGAAATGATCTCTTGTAAATTCTATACCATCCACATTATATTTTATTCGCACAGTTGCATTATCCAAGTCCAGCTCTCTTTGATACGTTTCTTTAGTATAATTCAGATGAGAATCATCAAATTCCAGCTTGATATCACCAAGTAGTTGATAAACCTTCATCATTAAAAGGCAATCACCCAGATAAACTTCTTAGAGCAATTTCAATATTTTCCTGTGGAATAACCGAAACTAACATCTAATTCATGAATTTAACTCACCAGAGGAATAGTTTTCCAGATAATATATTTTTGCATGCCTTTTCACAAGTTTTATTTTAAAGAAAAAAGTTGAAAGAGATGATGCAACATACATCTGCAGGATTTCCTACCAGCTCGGCTGCTGCTGCAGTAGCTTCAGCATATTTACCACTGTCAACGAGTTTTCTAACCTCTGACAGTGCATTTGGGGCATTGGGGTTTGTATAGTCTCCAGGAACCCCAGTCCAAAGTGTGTCCTCTACAAAATTATTCACAATATCCAGTCATTTTATACAAATTTTACCCATAATTCTCAGACAGAGACAAGCATTATACCATCAAGTAATGTATACAATTTTTAAGGGTTTTATCATTCACTTGTTTATTTCCACATGCTCGGTGCCAGGAATATGAAACGGTTATGAGAAACCTAAACAAGTTTTTAAACAGAATTTAACAAAAAGCGAAATAAAAATGTAGTTCTAGTTCACCGTTGAGCTGGATAAGTTCGGAAGCGACGCCACCCCAAATCATGGCACCGAGACGACCGTTTCCAACGGGAAGGGCGTCGGTCCAGTAGTTGGCGGGTTCGTTGAAGATGACTTTGAGTGGCCTTGAAATTGAACACTGGGAGTCCATGAAGCATGAGTTCCAGAGGGCTGCAACCGTGGGTTTCCGCACTATAATCCAGTCTTCATCTCCCATTACCGGAAAATCAAAAGTGGAGATTGTAATATATACGAACTAACCCACCTTGATTGCAATATTTCTGTTTCAAGTTACTTTTCTTTTACAATTTACCTTTTTTTTGGGGTTTTAGGAGGCAGAACCACTGGCTCTCCTTCTGACATAAGAGGAAGAAGATACCAATGAACATTGGATAGTGTATCCTATATATCATTTAACTTTTAATTTCTTCGATTATAACATTAGATTTTAATTTTAATTTCAATTATATCATTAGATCATTAAATTCTAATAATACAATGACATAAACATATTGTCGCAACCGTCTTTCGGTTAGGTCCCGGAATTGAGCTTCGACTTAAAAAATATGGATTGGAGTCGCCACCGATCATTTATTTAAAACAAATAGGTTGATCGGATACCCTATTTCTTACCTGATCTGCGTCTTTCCAAAGATGTGTTGGGTTCGGGAGTCGGTTACGGTCAAGGAAGGATTAGCACCCTTGAACCGTCCTTTCAGTACTACGTAATTTCCAGTTGTCTTTGATTAAGAAAATTGCAAGTTAAATTAAAAGGTAAAATTTGATCCGAATTACTTACCCTTAATGAGTTTACGGAAATACCCTTAAAAATAAGATTTTAAAATAAAATAATAATAATAAAAGAAAGTAACAAAACTAAAGAGTAAACCAAGGAAATAAATGAAACCAATAATAATAAACATAAAATAATTGGATGAAAAAAAAATGAAGATAAAATATATATACAAAAAAATAAAAAAGGTAAAGTATTTTAAAAAAAAAATAATAATAATAAGAACAAAGAAACTAAAAATATAATAAAAATAAATAAATAGTATAAATAAATAATAATAAAAATATATATAAATAAAAATGTATGTATAATATAATAAAATACTAAATAGTAATAATAATAATATAATAATAATAAAATACATATAATATTAACTAAAAAAATAGTAATCATAGAAATATAAATAAATAAAGTAAGAATATATATATATATATATATATATATATATATATATATATATATAACGTTAGGAAAATATAGTAAAAAAACATAGTAAATAAGTAAACATAGATAAAAAAATAATATTATATATATAATAATAGAAAAATAATATAATGTAACGCAAAGAAAAATGAAAAAAATTATATAATAAATAAATAAATAAAATATAATTAAATATATACATATATACATATAAATAATAAGGGTTAAATTAAAATTAAAAATGAATTAGGGGTCAAAATTAAAAGCCAATCGAAGAAAAAAATGAAAAAACACGCGGATCCACACGACCCGTTTATAAAAATCCGAATAGTTTTTCAAAAACACAAGCCTCGGGGACTAGATCTACAAAAATAGATCTAAAAAACGCCCCGTTCATCGGCCAAAAACACTTCTCTCAGTTTTCTTTCGAAATCAAAACACAGCAAGGGTAAGGAAAAATAACATGCGAAGGTATAAACTTTACCTTTCAAAATATAAATGCTTCGAAAAATGGCTACGAGTTGCTTGTAATTTTTTGCTTGGTATTTCGTATATCCTCCTCCGAATCTGTTACAATAGTGAGTTACAATGACTATTTATAATGCTTGTGGATCCTATCTTTAGGAGTTTAAATAATAGTAGAACTCTATCCTATTTTTAGGAGTTTGAATCCTAGTAAAATTCTATCCTATTTTTAGGAGTTTGAATCCTAGTAGGACGAAAATGTGTGTTGACAGCTGCCCCTCTTTGCCTATAGTCGTGTAACGGGAATATGGCAAAGATTAAAAGACACACTTTTCGTTCAGTGGAGTTGAAAATTGACTCTGATGTTTCAATAACTCCCTGTAGAATTGAGTTACGGACGACTCTTCCATCGTGAAGTCGAGTTCATCTTGAAATGATATGAAATTGAAGCCGTATTTTGGAATTTGAATCAGCACGTGACTTTCCGTTTCCCTTCGGTCTTCTTATCGGTTTAAAGACCTTGGATCGGAATCGAACTAAAAAATCTTCATTGACAGATAGCTTTTTCTTGACTTAAGCTATGCTGCTTGAAAATGGTTGCTTGTCACTCAGGCACGACTAACCCAGGTCCTCTTCTCGACTTGAAAACCTCGACTGCAACCGGAAAGTAGTGCGATTGATGTGTCATCGAGCTGAATGGAATCGAACTCGACAATTTTGATGGCAGATAACCCTTCTAGCCTTGAGTTATGTTGTAAATGATGTGCCTTGGAGCTGAGCGTAGTAGAACTCGAAGGTCTTTGTTGACAGATAATCCTTCTTTGAGTTGGATATCCCTCGTCGTGAAGTTGAAATCCAATCTAAAGATGGATGATGCTTGTGTGCACGATTCCCTTCGTCGTGAAGTTGAAACCGCGGGTGGCCCCTTCGTCGTGAAGTTGAAATCCAAGTAAGTAGCATTGTTCCGAGTCCAATATCCTCCGTCGTGAAGTTGAAATTGGCTCTGGAATCGGGAAATTATTTGTTGACAACCAGTCGTCCCTTCGTTGTGAAGTTGAACTTGTGTTGTCTCGAGTCCAATATCCTTTGTTGTGAAGTTGAAATTGGCTCCGAAATTGGGAAATTGTTTGTTGACAACCAGCAGTCCTTTCGTCGTGAAGTTGAACTTGCGTTGTCTAGATTCCAATATCCTTCGCTGTGAAGTTGAAATTGGCTCTAAAATTGGGAAGTTGTTTATTGATAACCAGCGGTCCCTTCGTCGTGAAGTTGAACTTGCGTTGTCTGGAGTCCAATATCCTTCGTTGTGAAGTTGAAATTGGCTCTGAAATTGAGAAGTTGTTTGTTGACAACCAGCGGTCCCTTCGTCGTGAAGTTGAACTTGCGTTGTCTGGAGTCCAATATCCTTTGTTGTGAAGATGAAATTGGCTCCAAAATTAGGAAATTGTTTGTTGACAACCAGCGGTCCCTTCGTCGTGAAGTTGAACTTGCGTTGTCTGGAGTCCAATATCTTTCGCTGTGGAGTTGAAATTGGCTCCGAAATTGGGAAATTATTTGTTGACAACTAGGGGTCCCTTCGTCGTGAAGTTGAACTTGCGTTGTCTCGATTCCAATATCCTTCGCTGTGAAGTTGAAATTGGCTCTGAAATTGGGAAGTTGTTTGTTGACAACCAGCGGTCCCTTCGTCGTGAAGTTGAACTTGCGTTGTCTGGAGTCCAATATCATTCGTTGTGAAGTTGAAATTGGCTCTGAAATTGAGAAGTTGTTTGTTGACAACCAGCGGTCCCTTCGCGAGAAGTTGAACTTGCGTTGTCTGGAGTCCAATGTCCTTCGTTGTGAAGTTGAAATTGGCTCTGAAATTGGGTAGTTGTTTATTGACAACCAGCGGTCCCTTCGCCATGAAGTTGAACTTGCGTTGTCTTGAGTCTAATATCCTTCGCTGTGAAGTTGAAATTGTCTCTGAAATTGGGAAATTGTATATTGACAACCAGCGGTCCCTTCATCGTGAAGTTGAACTTGCATTGTCTGGAGTCCAATATCCTTCGTTGTGAAGTTGAAATTGGCTTTGAAATTGAGAAGTTGTTTGTTGACAACCAGCGGTCCCTTCGTCGTGAAGTTGAACTTGTGTTGTCTGGAGTCCAATATCCTTCGCTGTGAAGTTGAAATTGGCTATGAATTTGGGAAGTTGTTTGTTGACAACCAGCCGTCCCTTCATTGTGAAGTTGAACTTGTGTTGTCTCGAGTGGCACGATATCCTCCGTCGTGGAGTTGAAATCACGGATGGCCACTTCGTTGTGAAGTTAAGCCTTGACTTGAATATCCTTCGTCGTGAAGTTGAAATCCAAGTATTGTATGTTGCGGGTGGACACAATTCCCTTCGCCGTGAAGTTGAAACCGTGGAGACCCCTTTTATTGTGAAGTTTGGCTTCGAGCTAGATATCCTTCGTCGTGAAGTTGAAATCCACTCTCGATCAAATTGTGTTGTTTCGAGAGAAACTTTCAATCTGTCGAGTTGGTCGAAGTGTAGCTTCTTGCTGCTGAGTTAAGCAACCAACATGAATCTTTAAAGGTGCTTTTGAATCGAGTATCCTTCGTCTTGAAGTTGAAACTTGACTCTAAAAGTTGCAAAAAATTATGTATGTGGAAAATGATAAATATGATGCTCTAAAATGTATGCATAAGATGCATGTAACATGAATTGGTTATATTTTTTCTCCTGAAAAAGGTCTGATAATTTGCATTAGGATGTTGAATCCCCAAATGTTCCCCAATATCAAAAAATGCACCAATATTTGATGTTGAATCTCCAAAGATGCCCCAAATGTTCCTCATTTCTTGCTTCAGCATTGATTCTGAGCATGAGTTTTGTGTCTAAGAGTCACATGTCATTTACCAAGATCCACTCTAGAGAGACTGTCTTGTTTGAAAAAAAAATGTTTTTCTTTCTCTTTTATTTTCAAAGTTCTGAAAATATCAATAAAGAGTTTCGAAAAATGTTTAATAAAAAGTTTTAAAAATATTGTCTCTTTCACGGTTTTACAATTGAGACGAATCATAAAACTAGAGTTCATTGGATATCAAATGTTTAATTACAATGTTAATTCTTCAATAAATTATAGCTATTTGACACGTGCTAAGATCAAAGCTATCTTTGGAAAATGGATAAGTAAGGAAAAGATAAAAAGGTCTCAGGTTATTGTGTTTGGTCAAAGGTTTGACATTTGATGCTCAAAGGTTTGATGGGGTACTTGCATGCTCCTCTACTGGAAGTGTTCTCCGACTCCCAGCTTTCATAGTCACATTTGGATTGTGCGATGCCTTATCAAGGAATTTGTGTGATCGCCTCAGTTGCAAAATTTTTATATTCGAGCCGCCTTTTCAGGTTTTCAACTCGAATCCTCCTTTGGTTTCAAGACGTTATTCAGGATTTACGTCTTGAACCCCCCTTTGTTATTTTTCTCACTTCGATATATTATAGAGAAGTCGGGGTTGTCTTGGTGCCAACAAGGGGTGTAGGAGTAACTTTTGCAGGGACAAAAGAGATATCTCGACACTTTGTTAGAGTGTAGACTATTCTTAGTTGAGCGAATGATTTGCCTACAAAGTATCTGGGATGAAATATCTCGACGGTTAAGGTGATGATCTATTTGAAGATGTAATGTTTATAGAAGCTCCTTTGTACTGCATTGTTTAGCAGAAGATCAAGACGTTATATCTGAATGAAGACATCTCCATTATATATTTTGTTACAGTAGTTTCTCTTTGTAAAAAGGTCATCGACGCTAGGTGTGGAGGTCTATTTCAAGATGTGAAGGTGACGTTGTTTTGTCAAAGTGTGAAGGTTTCTTCATATTTCACGTTGGGGAATTTATTATATGACAAGTGTTCTACTGTTTGTGGTGGAGACATTTCGGCATTCTTTGGTGGTATCTCCAAATGACGTTATCTTGGGAGTTTTTATAGTAAGAAGTTTCAACGCTTAATAGCGGGGAGATGATTAAGAAAGTTTGTGTCCCCTAGTATGGTTGTAGGCGTCCTTCTACGGGGTATTATTTATCGTGGGGCCTTGATGCTATGGTAAGACGTGAACATCCTTGTTATGTTTGTTAACATAGGCTTTTTGGTGTAGAGTTTCTTAATTCTTTCACTACAGCAAAATGGGTTTTTAGCGGTACTTTTAGCGGCATTTTTTTAGCAAACGCCGGTAAATACTTGTGCTTTAGTGACGTTTTTATATAAATGCCGCTAAATACTGTACTTTAGTGGCATTTTAAGCACAAATGCCGCTAAATGCTCATACTTTAGTGGCGTTTCTATATAAATGCCACTAAATACTATTCTTTAGTGGCGTTTTAAGCACAAACGCCGCTAAATTCTCATACTTTAGCGATGTTTTTGTATAAACGCCACTAAATATAGTACTTTAGTGGCGTTTTAAGCACAAATGCCGCTAAATGTTCGTACTATAGTGGCGTTTCTATACAAACGGCGCCAAAGACTCGTACTTTAGTGGTGTTTCTATACAAACGCTGCCAAAGACTCGCACTTTAGTGGCGTTTTTATGCAAACGCCACCAAAGACTCGTACTTTAGTGGCAATTTTATACAAACGCCGCCAAAGACTCGTACTTTAGTGGCGTTTTTATACAAACGCCGCCAAAGATCCGTACTTTAGTGGCAATTTTATACAAACGCCACCAAAGACTCGTACTTTAGTGGCGTTTTTATACAAACGCCGCCAAAGATCCGTACTTTAATGGCATTTCTGCCGCTAAACCCCCAAAACACACACTTGAGTCCCATTAATTTTTTTTAAAGAAGCCCTAAAACCTTGTTATGTTTACCCTTCTAGCTTTCTACCGCTTACATCTCTCTCACTCTTATTATTTTTATCCTTAATAGAAAATGAACCAGAGGCCAAAATCCTCCATGGCCACTCTCCCCTCGCAACTCCGACAACCTAAGACCATTTCTAAACCTTCCAAAATCGTCTCTCTCGTAGCCCCAATGCCTAATGCTGAACCTACATCTAAGGAGAAAAAGGGAATACCTTCAATAACTTGAGGGTTTCATGACTCCGACGAAGAATCAAAGGTCCTTGGCGAAGAAAAAGGTAAGGTTCTTGAGCAAGGTAAGACTTTTGGTTCGTTTTTCCTTGATTTTGGTTTTCGATCGATTTAAAAAAACTCTCTTTTCGTTTGTTTTTTGATGGTTGATGATTGATACGGTTTTTGGTTCGAAACTCCCCAACACTGATGGTTATGAGATAGTACCGACGAGGCTCTCGTCTTTCTTCCCTTTTCAACTCTCTTATTTCATATGAAATGTGCGATCCAGATTTTGCTTCCAGTGCTCCTATTTTTCCCATCATTTCCCTCCACTTTGGGTTCTTAAATTTTACTTTGACTAATTGTATAGGTAGCAAGTTCTTCATCTGTGAAAGATGCGGAGGAGATTTACTTTGATTTCAGGAAGCAGTGCTTCATTTATTCTAAGGAGGAGGATACCTTTTGCAAGCTTCAATATCCTATCAAGGAAACATTTAGCTATTACCTAAAGTGTATTGGCCATGGATCTGATGCCAAAATACTTGCTGCAACTGAAAAATGGTTTAGTTATTTCGAACGAAATCCATCTACTGGAGTTTAAGAACTCTGTAAGATAAATTTAAACACTTATATTGATCAATAAGTGAGTATCAAAATTTAGTCATGCTAGACTGTTGCAAGTTTGTTTATTTTATTTCGTGTTCTTTAGAACATGGTCTTTTACGATTTCTTCTGCTTGTCTCTAGAAGTTATTTACTCATTATTGTCAATGCGGTTGATCCATGCTTTGTAGAATATGGTACAAGTCATAAATTACGGGTATTACCTCTGATTTACAGGGAACAACATTGATCCTGACCTTCTATTAGCCGTTTTTCTACATGCTTCACTTTTTGAAAGTGCATTTTATATGGAAGTGCACCAGATAAAGGTCTGTTTTTGCTTCCTTGGCTTATAAGTGCATAAGAATATCACTTTCACAGTTTTACTTAAAAAGATGCTTCTAAATACCAGAGGTTTGAGTTCTTTCATTCAAAACCCTTCAATCTCATTAAAGTGTTAGTCTATATTCTTTCTTTCTTTTGTTTTCTTCCCCTTGTCTGCGTGCTTAACCTATTTTAGATTATTGGTAACTACTTGTAGTTTTTGGCTTTTAGCTATTTTCAATGGGTTTTCTTCGTAGTTCTTCGTAGTTAGACTCAACATCTTTTTTTGATTTCTCATTTCCCAATCAAAGGAAAGATTACCAAAGATTTTCCTTTTCACCTCAATTGACGTATGTTTGAAACATCATTCTATCCATTAAGTTATGACTTTAAACCTTATCATTTGAAAAACTGTGGTTAATGTGTCAATAGAGTTGTATGTCACAAATGCTTCTGCTTGTTGGTCATGGAGTTCTTATTTTGACCTTCTGTCTTGGATCTGATTTGAAGGTATCCCACCTTTCGTGCTTAGAAATTTGATATTATAATTATGTAATTACAATATTATATTCTCCTTGCAGCTTACTTTTCTATGAGTGGAACTGGAAAACATCACTGTTGCTTGGGTGACTTCTTAGTGCCACTGATCTTGTTGCTGTTGTGGCATTGTTGAAGGAAATTATGGTGCTAGCAAAAGGCTGAGCACCATAATTGAAGGATAATCCTTGATGAATGATGGGTATTCAATTTATGGATTTATCCTTTGCTCTTTTAATTATGTTGTATAAAACACTCCATATATTACTCGATATCTCAGATTATCTGAAGTCAACATGTTATGTCATTTCACGATTTCTTTTACACATTTTATGATAAAGATACTGTTAACTTATGTGTTTAGGACAACAATTGTGGTCTATCAGTTATTCTATAGAATAGTACTTGGACAGAGCTTTAGTTAGGATGCCATTATTGAATTTCTGGTTAAAGTCTCACTTAGAGCGTAAGTATCCTTCATTTTCAACAACTGTGATAGGGGTAAAGATGTGTAACAAATAAATAATAAAAGGGAACTTTATTACAAGCAAGTCCTCTTTGAGAAAGTAGACCTTGCATGCCTTCAAGCTTGAAACTAATCAACCACTCATTCTATAACAACCATGTTTAGAAATTATATTTGATTATAAGGCTCTTCTCGGTTTCAGTGTGGGTAGCGGTGGGCGTAGTCCAGAAGGTTGCAAGAGATCATCCTTAGCTTATGTTTTCCATTAAGAAATGTCCAATAACTTTGAAAATGGTTATAGACAAAGAAAAATGGGAGGAGTTGCAGAGGTTTAATCTCCAAGAAAATTTGGAATGGATTTTAGGTCAGGAATCTAGCCAAATGGCATTTGTAGCTTATATTATATGCATACTAATTTGTTTTTCCATATGTGGACTTGAACTTAATATTCTCGAAGTAATGAACATCAAAGCTACATTACATTTTAATTTATTTTGTTGTTAAAATTTATGGTTGTTATTTATATAAAGTTGCATGATATTAAATTTAGGTGATGTATAGCAAAAATGAAATAAGCAAAATATCAATTAATCTTAGCTAAAGAATGGTAATTAGCGGCGTTTGTATCCAACAACGCCGCTATTGATCTGACCTTTTGCGGCGTTTGTATCTAAAAATGCCGCTATAGATCTGACCTTTTGCGGCGTTTGTTTTAAAAACTCCGCTATAGATCTGTCCTTTTGTGGCGTTTGTTCCAAAAACACCACTGTAGATCTTGACCTATAGCGGCGTTTGTATCCAAAAATGCCGCTAAATATCTAACCTTTTGCGGCATTTGTTCCATAAACGCCGCTATAGATCTCGACCTTTTACAGCGTTTGTTCTAAAAACGCCGCTATAGATATCAACATTTTGCGGCGTTTGTTCCAAAAACGCCGCTATAGATCTTGACCTATAGCGGCTTTTTTGGTTCTCAAACGCCGCTAACTTTAGCGACGCTATTTTTAGCGACGTTTCTTGCGGCATTTTTCCAGTCTTCGCAAGCACTTTTAGTGGCGCTTAAAACGGCGCTATAGGACTAAAAATACCGCTAAAACTCTATTTTACTGTAGTGTTTAGTAGTGATACAAGTCATAAGACAAGGGCATTATAGAGGGAGTAAAATTTGTTATTTCTTGGAGAAAGTTAATTGTCGGGTGTCTTAACCCTTGGATGAAATTAGTAACCTTACCTTGAGAATTGTTAAGGTAAGTCATATCTCAAGCTTAGTGACATGAAGGTATCATTGGTTTTCTAGTATAACTGTAAGCATATGTTTTTTTTTTTGCCATGGTGTTTCACCGAATAAGATGGTACAATGATATAGGTTTTTGTTTCTCCATGTTGGGCTCTTACAGCTTTATGTGGGGCTTGCATCTTGGGGAAAAGGCTTCTTTGCTTGGACTCATTTAATGTTAAAGCGGAGTCACTAGTCGGAAGGTTTCTTCCGACGCTTTATGCAAAGTTTGAATTAAAGTTCCTCTTCCAACGTTCTATGTGGAGGTATACTTACTCCTTTACTCAACGCTTTATGCAAAGGTTCTTTAACGTTTAGACGTGAAGGTATATATAGGATTCTCAATGCTTTATACGAAGATATTCATCTAAGAGCCTCCACGCTTTGTTCAATTATAAGTCGAAGGCTTCTTCGAACATGATTCTTGCCATTTAGATGAGAAGGTATATTTTTATACGGTGGCAGAAGCCTTATAGGGAGAGGTAAAATTCATTTTCACAACCTCTTTTAAACATTCCGTGTGAAATCCTATGTAAAGAATGAAAAGATCATATTCATGTCGTAGAGAGGTTGCAGAGGCTCCTTAACCTTTTGGTCAATCTTTAGTGAATAAGAAATAGTTGTAGGGTATTTTCAGGTCTTTGGCTAAAGAAGAAATATCTTTTCACCCTTAGAAGAGTCTAGTGGAAGGGTTGAGATGTCGTTGTCATAGTGAATAGAAGAGACTAACTTTTCCCCCTTTGCTAAGAAAAGGCATCTCAACATCGTGATAAAGGTATCTCGACACTTTTTGAGGGTGGCTCCATGCTACATGATAAGAGTGAGAGACATTCTTAAATCAGTCAGGCTCTCGAGGTTTTTTCATCGATTTCATGGTAGAGGCATCTCAACACTCAATTAAAGTGGAGTCTCTCGACTCTATCAACCAATTTTCATAAATACTCTAACGTTGTTCAACTAGGTAGAGGAGACTTCTTAGTTTGTGGTAATGCATTGTGGTGTATGCGGAGGCATCTCAATATATTCCATACCCTGTAGGTCAAATTGAGGCATCTTTTCCATAGCACTATTAAGAAAAGACATCTTGATGCTACATTAAAACGGAGGCTCTCAACCAAAAATATTATGTTTTTTTTATCATATTTTCGATTGCATTCCAAAATTATCGTATTTTAGTTTTAAATTAGGCTATCGCTCCTTAGACTCTCCTTTCATAGGGATAACATTGTTTAGTTTTTATAAAATATTATATTTCATCCATAGTATTTTAATAAGAGTTAATACAAAAATAAATGCATAAATTATGCCTCAAAAAAGATTTTAGTGACGAATTTTTGTTAAAAATATGTGCCTAACGTTTTTCCATTACCATTTTAAGTACCCAGACGTTAATCACAGTTAAAACCCCATTAAGTGAAATGTGTCATGTTCTGATAATTTTTAAAAAATTATTTTAAATTTAAAAAATAAGAATATTTTTTATTATTTAAAAAAACCCTCCATCTCCTCCATTCGACCTTCTCCTCACTGGATGACTACCACGATCGAAAGTCACATCCGATCAAACGACTGATCTAAGGGATTTTTAGGGATTCAAAACCTTAAAATGAAATCTTTCATTTACACTGTTTTTGGGTGTACGTTTGGTTGTGAAGTATAGGAGTTTTGATCGTGGGTGGTTAGCTGGTCACACGTTGTTAGGTTTTCGACCGATTAACGACGTTGGTGACAGTTGACAATGGCAAATGAATTAAAAATAAAGTTTTAAAAGTTTTGAGTTTTTTTTTTAAGATTTTTAAGATTTTATTTTTTAAAATTTTATTTTTTTAAAATAAAAATTCTTAAAATTACTCTAACATGACACATGACACATGACACATGTCACTTAATATAGATTTTTAATGATGGTTAAAGCCCAAGCACCTAAAATAATAACAAAAAAAAAGTTAAACATCTAGTTTTAACGAAATTTTTTTAAACCTCAAAATATTTTTTGAGATATATTTTAAACCCTTATTTTTTGTTAAACTTTTTAATAATAATCACCGTTTTCCAATATATATATATGATAACGTTACTTTCAGCGTTTTTCCCGATATATCACCTATACCCTATATATTTCCCTGTCAGACACCATTCAAACTATTTTTCTCGATCTAACACCCTTTGCAGTAAGGCGTCCCCCTGCAACACGCTTTACGGTGATCTAGCGTCACGTGGGGTAAGGCGCGCCCCCTGCAGCGCGCCTTATGCTGACATTGACACACGTGTCTAAAGCGCGGCCCCTGGGGCGCGCCTTACGCCACGTGGGGCTATAGCGCGGGGGAGGGGCCGCGCTTTTCAATTATCACATGCTCAATTATCAGACATGCATAATGCAAGACGCGGTGCAGGGACCGCGCCTTACATAATTTACCCGAACTTCTCGGCTTTAAAGCATCCCCTCTCGGCTATAAATAGCCCTCTCCCTGTAAACTCTCTCACAATTCCCTCTCAATCGAGA